TCCCTTGCTAGTAAAGTGGTAAGGTAGGATGCTATTTGATGAAGAAAACACACTTTGAGAAAGTAGTTTAGGTAGCTCAGTTGAATACAGGTATACAACTCAAACCTACAGTCTGATAACAGGAAATAATGTTATTAAGTTGTCTTCTAAGCTCTAACTTAATGGTGCATATGGTACTATTCTTGAAACAGAATTTCTTTTTCTTTTCCTTCTTAATGTTGTCTTTAGTAGATCAAGTTGTTAATCGTTTCTTTGACATCTAATGTCATGGCATGAAGATTGGAGTGGTAATCTAAATCACAGTTCTACTTTCTTTCCAGCTCTCATATGATTGATGCTTTCTGTAATGGTCTTACCGCAGTTGGGTACAGTGCTCTCAGATATTTAGCTGTTATAGTTAGTAGTGCTCTCGTCTTCGCCTCCTCGCGGTCCTCGGCAACAACAGAGACAGAGCAGTGTCATTCTAACATCATCTTCCTAACAGTTGCACTGATTACTTCCCCTGTCTTTAAAATCAGAAACTCCATGCCAAATTTCCTCACTTATTACTCTTCTTTTGCTAAAGCAACAGGTCTGGCATCTGAATACCTCTTCACCAAATTGTTATATTTTTCCATTTGTCATCTTCTTCTCATATTTCCCCCCAAATCTACTTGCTTGTCAGATTTTAGGCGCCATTAATATTCCCTCCATCTATTTCTCCGGCTAAATCCTAGGCGATATCTGTCTCTTGCAAAGTCGAGATGTAAGTTGGTTGTCAATTTTATAGTACTGATTTTCTTATGTGAATACCTTAATCGTTTTCCGAATGTTAGTCTGCAAATTTTTAAACTGAGATATGTTGTTTGAAATGGTTAGAATTTTGAGATCACTAGTATCTAATTCAGTTTTAGTTTTCACGGTTTTTGCCCTTACTTTTCTGTGTTTCTCTTTTGCTTTGTTTAATATGGTTATTGCCGCAATTTGTCAATATAACTTGTACATATGCTTCATAATCCATTCTTTTATTTATGATTTAAATGGTTAGCGTGGTATGTTCATGGAGAAGAAAAAGGACTTGGGGTTTGTAGACATGTAATTTTTGACCCTCCCCAAGATTTTTTATATTTTAGCATGTAAATATTTAATTTAGGCCTAATATAGCTATTTCAACTAATTTTTTGCTCTTTTACTTTATTTTATTACAAGAAAAATGAAAATTACAAAAATAGTTTTGTTTAATATTTTGTAGTCATTTTTAATTTTGAAAAAAATACCAAAAAAATAGTTTTGTTTTAATGGTTAGTCTTATTTTAACAGTTATTTTATTTAAGTAGGACTAATTAATAAATAAGGTCGTATTTTAGTCCTGTTCGCGGAGAAAGAATAAAACTTGGGCTCGAGCAACCCATTTTTAGGCCTAATTTTTGGACCTAGCCCATAATTCCCAAGCCCATAATTCCTAGGCCCATACCTCTAACCTAATCCCTACAGTTTTCCTCCATTTTCGTTTTCTTCTCAAGCCAAAAGAACCGGAAACAGACCCTCCCCCTTTAGCAAGAAAAGCCAACGTCTTCCCCTCCCCATATTCATCATCCTCTTTCCATCAAATTAAAAAGAAACACACACAAGAGAGATGGTTAAAATTCAAAAGAAAAATAAACGAAAAAAAAAAAGTTTTGAAGGCTATTCGAATTTCTGCTCTTTTGCTTCAAATTTTCTGGAATTTCGAGTGCCATTTGGGTTGAAGAAGCTTTGTTTGGTCGCTGGATCTGTCGTTGATGTTTTGTTGAGTCCGTAGGCTGTTTGTTTTAGCTGAGCTCCAGCATTACATCTGCTTTTTCAGCTTTTTGCTTTGGCTTTCAAGTGTCTTTGCATTTTAGGTATGAGTATCAGTCCAAAAACTGCTGTAATTTTCGTTGGTTAAATTATTGTGTAAAGTTGGTTCTTTAGGATATTATTTTTTTTAAAGTTTTATTATACTGTCTACTTATGTGAGAGGCATCTGATCCGATATTCATGTTGGAAACAGTAATTATTTTTGTGTGGATGTTCTACTTTAATTGGCTAGTAGTAAGTACGTGACAACATTGTCGTTTCGGAAAAATAAAGACTAGGGAATCAAAGCAGAGAAACCCCATGTTTATTGTTAATTAAAAGCAAAGAATAGAGACAAAGGAATTGAGGAAATCCAGAGAAGTCTTACGTTTGTTGTTAATAAATAGTCTTAGTAATTAAATATCATGAAAGCAGAGAGCCAAATGAGAGAAAAGGTTGGGTTTATATACTAAAAAATAAACAAGACAATCTTATTGGTTGTTTCAGAGAGGGAAAAGAAGATTTTCTTATTGATGCATTTTTGTTGTGTGTGAAATGTGTGCAGCTTTCTTATTTATTTCCTGTTGTAATTCTCCATTTCGGGATTCTTGCTTATTGGCTGGAAAGTTTTCCAAATGATGCATGTAGTTTTCCTGTGTTATTTTCAATGGTGCATATGGCCAAAATCTTACATTTGCGTGCATTCTGCTTTTGGAAGTTCCAGTTGTAAACCTATGCTAGTGAAATTGTCCTCAAAATAATGCAAATAAATGTCATATAATGATTTATAAGGCAATGATATTTGAAGGTCTAATGTCAGTTGTTAAAGCCATATTGATGAGGTATTTATATTGTCGAAGTTCATAATGTTAATGTCTTTATCCACTTTCTTTTGGATGCGTGCACCTTGATTGAAAAATTGTCTTCATCTTCTTTTTCTCTACACTGGAACAGCTTTAAGGCTTGTAGTGACTAATTTTCCATTAGTTGTGTATCTTATCCTTCTATGTTCAGGATTGCTTGTTTACCGTAGTTACTCGGTTGCGGGTAGATGTAAGAGTATCAATATTCTTATCTCCAAAATAAAAAGAAAACTAACTAAAGAAATTAAAGAAGTTTCTCAATTTCCGAAGCTTTCTCCCAGGTCAAGTAGAAGTAGCTTTAAGTTATCTTAGCCCTCTCATTTTCACAAGGATATGATCTGGTTATTTGGTTAAATCCCAATTCTTTCACCTGCCTACCCACTCGAGGTGTGCCATACACAAACAAAAACTAATAATCTATAGCCCTCATATGTGTATTAACCTAGTATTGAAATAATCATAAATGATCGTAGTTTGCTTCAGGCCCGATTTAGGCTAGTATTGTGATTATGTATATGTTCGCGTAACATAATTGCAAATTTAATTCTTAAAAGACTCGAGGTATGCGTTCGCGCAACTTTAACCAAACTTTCCTTAATAAAAATAAACAAAGCGTTATTAATTGTGGACACGTTCGCGTGACATGATTTTTGACGCGCCAAAAGAAAAGAGTATACGTACGCGTAACTCAATTCTTTAATTACGAATAAATTCAGTGATTAAAAGCGGTAGAAAGATAAATACACATAGGTCCTAAAATGAGTAATTAGACAATTTAAGCCAAGTATAAATTGCTAAGCGACCGTGCTAGAACCACGGAACCCGGTAATGCCTAACACCTTCTCCCGGGTTAACAGAATTCCTTATCTAGAATATCTGGTTCGCAGACTCTTTAAAAATAAAACTTCCTCGATTTGGGATTTAAAATAAACTGGTGACTTGGGACACCATAAATATTCCAAGTGGTGACTCTGATTAATAAATAATCCCATTTCGAATAATGTCACTTAAATTGGAAAAACTCCCTTATACCGCCCTCGTCGGGGTGTGTGTAAAAAAGGAGGTGTGACAGGGTTAAAATTTCTTAGCAAAGATTTTGGTGGGACAAAAGACGATTCTTGCATTACAGATTTATCCAAGTGTAACAGCACTGATCAGTTTCGGATGTATTTATTTGTAAATTGGTTTATTTCGTCGTAAATTTATAGTTGGAAATAGTTCCCTTTGCTTTTTATTCGAGGTTTTAATATGTTAAAACATCCAAGAAAAAAGATTTTCTAGCATAACATGAAATACCCACAAGATGAAACGATATAAATATCAAGAATAATCATATAACATATTGTTTGTGACATACCTTTTGGATAAGAGCCTACGTTATAGAGAAGAGAAGGGGATTGAATAATTATAATAAGATTTGGGTTTGAGTGTCTTATGTTGGTTAGCTGAATTAGCACTTTATTTTGTAACTGAGTGGAGATATTATTACTCGTGTGATTTTGAAGCGTTAATTTATTTACAATAATTTCATAATTTGAGGATTATGTTCGTGATTTTCATGTAACTCTACATTGTGGATTGTGTTTACCTTCTCTCTGTTGTCTTTAGTTTGATGGGAATGATATTACACACTCTCCAAAGATTAGAATAAATCTTTCGGAATAGTTTTGTTCCCTAAATTGGCTGTTGGACCTCTTTTGTTTGGAAATGGTTGTATGATTATTCTGATTAGTGATCCTTAAAAATGCATGAGTGCTGACTTTTCCTAAAAACTCTTGAAATTCTTGAAGGTTCATTAATTTATCTTTATTTAAGCTATGATATACTGCCAATGGACTATTTGAGTTGGAATTCTTTCGCACTTTGTTAAATTCATCTTCTTAGATACTTTCCAAAATTCCAAGTTGATATATTTTTAAATCTCCCATAAAGATTTTAAAGCTGTTTTAGTCATTAAGGGCATGTTGGATTTCGGTAAATCTATAACAAAAGTTGGAACTATTAGTACCAATTAGAGGAAGAAAGCCTTCTTCATTATAGAGAATAATTGGGTCACTTCCCGTTATCTAACTCACAGGAGAAAACAATTGTATTTTTTGATAATTGCTAAAAAAAATCTATTTTCCTAAAGCTCTAATCTTACATTCAAATTTTGTTAGACAACTATCCTCTCTCTTGCAACTTATCAATTGACTTCTCTTCTCAGGTTGAATTAATTTCCCCTTCTCCAAGATCAGCATCCACCTTTGTAAGTTAGTGATGTTCTCTCCATCTCATCCTCAATATTGTATTCCCAAATCTCGAGACTATTATTTTTGTTTTAAATTAAACCATTCATCCAGGCTTTCACCACTGGTGGTGGTGGGGGATTTGGCCAGGTTTATATTTTTTCACGTTAAGTGGTTCACTTGTTTGCTAACTCTTTTGAGATTAATTATAATGATCACAATATTAAGAACCTATTGTGGTCTTGGTGGGGCAGGAGCTCAGGGAATCAACTTCAAGATCTTGTTTTCAAACCTTTCCTCCCTTTGTTATTGTGAAAATCTGGATAAAAATGTGCTTCTAGATATGTCAGCTGATATTTCTACTGGTAAAGTTGTGCATGATTCAGCTTTAATATGAAATAGCTAATGAGTTTGATGAGATCAAGTTAACTTCTAATTGGAAGGAAATCTGTACTATAGTGGATAACTATAGATAAAACTGATTTCTTTCCCAATGTATTGGCTCAAATAAGAGAAATATTCTTTCAAACTTAATACAGATAGTAGCTCAATGGAAAGTTAGAACTGCATGTGCTTTCTCTAGGGATCACAACACTATTGTTATGGTTTTCACTATCCCTGCCTTATTGTACTAACAATCTAGCAGAAGCCATGGCAGCTAACACTTATTGACAATGTGATTTTGGAGATGGCTCCAAGATCATTGTTGTTTCACTGGAAATAGGACTCCCTCATGGAAATTACTGGAATGGATTTCAAAGATCCAAAGAAATTTAGCTACTATACATGGTGAATCCACTCATTGCTATAGAGAAGCTAATATAGTGGCACACTTGCTAAAGCTGGATAAATCACAAACACCTCAAGAGTCTATTTTAAGTTTGAACAAACACCTCAAGAGTCCACCTTCAATGTTGGTATTCTTTCTACTTACTCCCTCCATCCCAAATTAGTTGTCACGTTTCGCTTCTTGAGAGTCAATTTGACTAATCTTTGAAGCTAAATTGAATTGGATCAACTCCTTACAATAAAAATTTATATATTCAATAGGAAAAGTACTATTTTTTTTTCTTATGTCAATACGATGAAAACTATATTTAAAAATATTGATCAAAATTCATATAGTTCTTTCGGAAACAGCCTCTCTACTCCTCGGGGTAGGGGTAAGGCCAGATCCCACTTGTGGGATTTTACTGGGTCGTTGTAGTTTGTTGTTGTAGTAGTTTGCCAATGTGCCAAAAATGATAACGGGGACTAAATTCACCAATTTGCTGAAATGAACTTTCCCCTGTCCTGTCCAAGACAAACTTTGGATCCTTAAAATACCCAACATCTATTGTCAGTTTGCCCCTAAGCTCGAAGAAAGTAAAGAAGCAGATGGCAATAACGGAGGAAGCAAACCAAAAGTCCACTTTATCCCCACCTAATTCCTACACAGCAGTCGTTCTTGGAGGTACTTTTGATCGTTTACACGATGGTCACCGCCTTTTTCTTAAGGTTTTTCCCGTTACCCTTTTCCCTCCTTGTCCCAGATAATAAATCACGTTCATGAAAACGAAAAGCTCTTAAAGTGATGGGGGTTTTCTTCTTCTTTTGTAGTCGGCAGCTGAATTGGCGAAGGATCGCATTGTTATTGGTGTTTGTGATGGTCCAATGTTGACTAACAAACAGGTTATTCTCATGCTTTATACTCTGTATACAGTTTGTTTCTTGATTCCTGTAATAGAATCATGAGCCTCATCTTCCTTGAAATGTTGATTTTTTTCTTGGGATTACAGTGCACTAATGGCAATTTTCCAGATTTTTGTTCTTATTGGTTAGAAGTGTCAAAATTTTGCTCCATCCATCTAAGATGAATGCCAGGGTTCAAAGTATGAGAGTTAAAAGACTTAATTTTTTGAAAAGATTTAGACTTTGTATCATTTAAAATGGGACAAAGGGAGTATGTGAAAAGTATTTCTTATTAACTAATGTAATTTTACTTTTATAATTTTCTTGGCAATTGACCTTTATTAAGATTTTAATCAGTGACATGTGGAAGCTTTAAAAATTGCTATCAGAACTTTTCTTAAGGTACAAACTCAACTATAGGGTGCTTTGGAGGTTACTTAGATTTGAGAAGCAAAAAGTGGGCCGAGATGCAGAAGAGAACAAAAAATGGGATCTTTTATCTACTCATTGCATTTTCCCCCATTCATGAGAGGCAGTAAGTATAGTCTAAAATCTCATGAAGAAAACTGTTGAGTGGTCTTTGTTATGTGGTTCTTTGACATTTCGCAAAATTGAATAGGATAGAGCATGATATAAGAGATATGAAAAAAAATTACTTGGATATTGGGTAATCTATAGAAGGTTGGAAAGGATTCGTTCTCTTAAAATCTTCAACTTGCAAAACATGGCTTAAAACAGATATGAGAGTAGTTGACTGATGTCCATGTTTGAAGGTTTGATTCCAGCTTTTTATTGTCCATCTTTACTGGATTTTAAAGTTCAATTACATGGTCAGTGCAATGCGTGTTATGAATACACAGAAAATGAAGATTGATCACGCCCAACTATGCCTTCTAAAAAGGACAATGCGGTCGCTGCAAATATAATCCGGTTTACAAGTCCGGAGTCGAATCCCACAGAGAACTAAGGTTTAGCTACAGGTGTTCACTATCACCAAGAAGACACGCTTGAACAATTCCTAACTTATAGATATTAAGATTCTTATGTTTAACTAATTAACTAACAAATTAAAATAGTAAATTAATAACTAAATATACTAAGGGTTAGAGACAAGGTTAAGGAGGTCTAGAGTTATGATTTCCCCAATTGTCGGAATCCTTCCCGCTATGTCTTCTATAATTTCGCCTAAGTATTCTCTACCAATCATGAGCACTCTTATTACCGTAAATCTCTCCCGAGTAATTACGACAATTTAGTAGACGCACTCTCCCGAGCTACGCTAGCTAGCTTTTAATACAGCTCACTTTAGATCGCACCCAAGGCTTCGTTATCCCTAATCCCGCCTTTAAACCCTCGGTTATTGATCCCTCATATACTTTGGGAGTGGTGTTGTTCAACAATTACCTAAATATGCACTCTCTCCCGAGTTATGCATACTAAATAGGCATAGCTAATTGAGAGCTCTTCAATCAACCAGAATATAAACGTAGTTGAACAAATAGAGAAAAGCTATGGCTCAATTATATAAAAACATAACAAGAATTTATCCTACAAAAGGTTCTATCAAAACTCTAGATAACAAATTAGCTATTCATAATAGTATGTAAAACTACAATACTAAAAGTCATAACCAACAATGAAAAATAGGAAGAGGAAGGAAAAAACTCGTAGAAGAATTCTCCGCCTTGCTCCCAATGTGTTCTTGCCTCCAAGGGTGTTGTCTAACCCTAAAGTAGCGTCTCTCCGCCTCCTTAGGTCTAATTTGTGTCCAAAATATGTCCTCCTCTTGTTCTTGGCCGGCCTCCTTTGTTTAATATAGGGTTTAGGACTTAAAATCCCATGTTTTGCACTTTAGTCCCTGAAATTTTCGCTTCCTGCCGCGGTTTTGCTGCGGTCGCGGTGGAACCGCGGCCAAACATGCCCTCTGATTCTTCAGTTGTCCGCGACCATCTTCTACCGCGGTTCTGCCAAGGTCGCGGCAAAATCGCGGTTTTTCACCCTGTTCCGTTTGTAGAAAAACGTAAAACATGAAAGTTGTAGCCCTTTGAGTTAGCTTTCCAACCATATATTGTGGAGCCCAAATGGAGTTCTGAGCAAAAAGTTATGTCTATTTTACTAGACAGTGCGCAATATGCCTCCTCAAGTCTTCGTTCGTACTTAATTATCAAATTTGACCCCCGAACACGATCCCGGCTTAATTCCTTGAGCTTTTACTCAGACTTCAAAGCTTCAAATCACTTAAATTCATTCCATAACATCTATATAGCTCGGAATCACACCTACAAGGCATAAAACACACAATTAGTGCAAAACACTAGCGATTAAAGCGCAAACTCAATTAAAGTGCAGTAAATTAGAGTGTAATAAGCGACTAAAATATGCAATTATAGCCTATCATCAACACCCCACACTTACACCATTGCTCGTCCTCGAGCAATCAAACTACACTTTTTATAGACACGACCTTTTTAAAACAATTCTCCTAACTCATCCCACCAAGAGTATTTAAAATAGACTAAGCACAAAAGCGTAACATCTTCACCTCAAAATTTGACTCACAAGTACCACACGTTATTCACAAGTCACCCACTTACTCTAATATAGAGGTCACTGACATTACCTTCCTTCATGAATCAAGTGCCCTCACACAACACAAGAGAATAGTTCCACACAATAAAATTTACGAACATTTAGGAACTCAAGATAGAAAGAATTCACTCACTCTCAGAAATAACATTCATATGCCACAAAAGATGCACCATAAGCTTGCTCGTAGTGTACTACTCCACTAATCGAGCTCATTCAATCTTGGATCAATTAGGACTTTATTTGGTTGTAATGTAGGCTACGGGACGGGTAGGATACATTTAGATATAAGAGTGACTACACCTCCCTAAGCACTTTAATACATATACTTTAACATTCAAACCCCATACTTATGTCAAACCAAAAATCCACCTTCACATCAATGTATATTACCCCATTCTTCTTTAAGCGCACTTACATCAAGAGCCACCACTTATCAAGGAATTTTTTTTTCCACAACAATCCAACTATTTTGTTTTCAATTCAAGTGGCTCTTCCTTTTTCAAAACAGTGCACCTTTCTCCTTATTTCATTAGTTCCACTCAAAAGCCAAACCAACCACCCCACACTTTAACTTTTACAAAGTTCATAAATAATTCAAGTGCTCATGAGAGGTTACAATGGTTCAAATAGATGGTTAATTCGAACAAATGGGTAAGGCTTGTAATGTGGTTGCCAAAGAAACAAGATTACAGGCTCAAAGGGGTTAACTACGATACATTACAATTAGGTGGGTAAATATACATATCCGGCTTCAACAAAGAAATGCCTATATCACTTCCTAGACTGAATAAAACTACTATTTCGCTTTGCAAACACACGGGGCAAGTTCTAGGCATCAAATGCAATGCACAAAATATCACAAAACCTTACACACACATGGCACATAACTCACTCAGGATTGGATTCATCAAGACACCCTAGTCAGAGCAGTTAAGCAAATTTAAGATCATACAATTTAAGGTACTTATACAAGAGTCAAAAACTGAGCCTAAGCGTCACAGCCAAAGTACTCACTATTCTCAAGGCATAACAAAGTCAAGAGATATTGCTTCATTTCAAAACAAAACACAATGGCTCCTTTTCCCAAAAAAAAAAGACTAACCACTTCAAATAAAACCCTTGGAAAAGAACCGTGGTTTAAAGAAAAACCAAGGGGTAATTGCTACACTACCTAACAAAACAAAAAATCTTTTTGGTATTTTCTTTAGACTTACTTCCCTCAAGAAAACTGTCTAGAAGATCCGTCATCAGGAAAAGTCCAATCTTTTTTTTAAAAAAAAAAACACAGCTAAAGTAGCATGAAAAATCACCCAGACAATCTCCTCACCCCACACTTAAAATTGTGCATTGTCCCCAATGCACACCCATACATACAAGAGGGTAAAAGAAACTCCCTGGTAGGTCAAAGGCCGAAGCACTAGTAGTTCATGGGGTACTCAGACTTCTCCCAAGCTTGGTCCTTCGTGTGGGTACCTCACACTTAGTTCCAACCATTTGGTTTGCTGATGCATCCTTCCAATACCTTTGCTTTCCATGCTCCTAGAAAATAAAAAAATTAACACTACAAAAATAATACAATTAAAAAAAATAAAAATAAAAAATAAATAAAAGAAAGCAATAAAGCTGGGTTGCCTCCCAACAAGCGCTTGATTTAATGTCGCAGCACGACGAGAATCACTTTTTGCCTCCACCTCGAGCTTATGAATTGAACCCCCAATTTGGCATCAAGTTTTCGGCTATGCTCCAGGGGTGGAGGAACAAATCTAATTGGTCCAAGCAACCATTGTACTATTCTACACTTCTTGGCTTTTAGATGAGGTATGTAGTCCTGTCTTTCTGGTAAGAAAAATTCCAGAATATAGGCACCTTGTTCTTCATTCCTTGACTCCTCAATCGGCTCGGATGACTCTATTTTCATATCGTCATCCAAGCACAATATAGAAAAATGTTTGGAGTGAGGACCAATGCGCTCACACACATGAACTTCAGGACTTTCAGCATGCTCAACATCAATGATACTAGAGTCAACAAAATTTGTATCCTCAATGTCCTTGGCTGACTCTAGTCTCACTTCTTCAACATTGACATCTTCAAATTCTAGTTGGCTAGGTTGTTGATGTTGTGCTTTGACCTCCCCAATTAATACCTCAAATTCATGCTCTTCTTGGCTACTATCATCAATATTGGATTGTTGAGCATTAAAAGCTCCAACCACTTGACTCAATTGAGCCTCCAACTTGCGAATAGTTGCCTCTTGCCTTTCTATGTGCAATTGTTTCTCATTGTTTTGTTCCAGAAGACACTTTAGCATATCCTTGATCTCCTTCAGGTCCGCATTCCCAGGTTCTTTGTTCCTATTAACTTCACAAGAAAAGGTGGAACCATCGTAGTAAGGGAAAATAAGAAATATAAGCACAACCATGAAGGTGACCATTTTTACCACCACACACATCACACACATTTCACAAATAAGATTGAGTTGGTGCACATACCTCGCTCTCAGGAACGTTTTGAAAATTTTGCCACGGGTGGTTTCCTTTACAATATGTATGGAGATCAATAGTAGAATTATCTACACCTAAATTCCATAATTCCAAGATGTCATGTTTCTCAAATCAACAGTTATAAAAAAAATACCAAGAAAAAACAAAACAAAATAAAAGTTCAAACTTGAACCCTAGCAATATATACAGCTACAACTACACCATTAGTTCCCCGTCAACGGCGCCAAAATTTGATCACGCCCAACTATGCCTTCTAAAAAGGACAATGCGGTCGCTGCAAATATAATCCGGTTTACAAGTCCGGAGTCGAATCCCACAGAGAACTAAGGTTTAGCTACAGCTGTTCACTATCACCAAGAAGACACGCTTGAACAATTCCTAACTTATAGATATTAAGATTCTTATGTTTAACTAATTAACTAACAAATTAAAATAGTAAATTAATAACTAAATATACTAAGGGTTAGAGACAAGGTTAAGGAGGTCTAGAGTTATGATTTCCCCAATTGTCGGAATCCTTCCCGCTATGTCTTCTATAATTTCGCCTAAGTATTCTCTACCAATCATGAGCACTCTTATTACCGTAAATCTCTCCCGAGTAATTACGACAATTTACTAGACGCACTCTCCCGAGCTACGCTAGCTGGCTTTTAACACAGCTCACTTTAGATTGCACCCAATGCTTCGTTATCCCTAATCCCGCCTTTAAACCCTCGGTTATTGATCCCTCATATACTTTGGGAGTGGTGTTGTTTAACAATTACCTAAATATGCACTCTCTCCCGAGTTATGCATACTAAATAGGCATAGCTAATTGAGAGCTCTTCAATCAACCAGAATATAAACGTAGTTGAACAAATAGAGAAAAGCTATGGCTCAATTATATAAAAACATAACAAGAATTTATCCTACAAAAGGTTCTATCAAAACTCTAGATAACAAATTAGCTATTCATAATAGTATGTAAAACTACAATACTAAAAGTCATAACCAACAATGAAAAAAATAGGAAGAGGAAGGAAAAAACTCGTAGAAGAATTCTCCGCCTTGCTCCCAATGTGTTCTTGCCTCCAAGGGTGTTGTCTAACCCTAAAGTAGCGTCTCTCCGCCTCCTTAGGTCTAATTTGTGTCCAAAATATGTCCTCCTCTTGTTCTTGGCCGGCCTCCTTTGTTTAATATAGGGTTTAGGACTTAAAATCCCATGTTTTGCACTTTAGTCCCTGAAATTTTCGCTTCCTGCCGCGGTTTTGCTGCGGTCGCGGTGGAAATTTTCGCTTCCTGCCGCGGTTTTGCTGCGGTCGCGGTGGAACCGCGGCCAAACATGCCCTCTGATTCTTCAGTTGTCCGCGACCATCTTCTACCGCGGTTCTGCCGCGGTCGCGGCAAAACCGCAGTTTTCACCCTGTTCCGTTTGGAATTTGGAAAAACGTAAAACATGAAAGTTTTAGCCCTTTGAGTTAGCTTTCCAATCATATATTGTGGAGCCCAAATGGAGTTCTGAGCAAAAAGTTATGTCTATTTTACTAGACAGTGCGCAATATGCCTCCTCAAGTCTTCGTTCGTACTTAATTATCAAATTTGACCCCCGAACACGATCCCGGCTTAATTCCTTGAGCTTTTACTCAGACTTCAAAGCTTCAAATCACTTAAATTCATTCCATAACATCTATATAGCTCGGAATCACACCTACAAGGCATAAAACACACAATTAGTGCAAAACACTAGCGATTAAAGCGCAAACTCAATTAAAGTGCAGTAAATTAGAGTGTAATAAGCGACTAAAATATGCAATTATAGCCTATCATCAAAGATATACAAGGAAGACAATGTGAATGTATTTGCAGATTCCTGATGATTCGTCCTGATAAATGATAATAATACTAAATGCTGTAATGAGCTAAGTGAGGCAGGTTTTGCATCTTCTTCAATGGGATTGCACATATATGTTCATCATGTGTAACTCAGTATGCTCATATCCGCATATGTTCTGTTCTTATGATTCTTTTTATATTTCCCATGTTAAAGTGTGGTGTAAGTAGACTTAACACTACTCCACTGTCAATGCTATATGTTTTCCAATAAATCACATTGCAATCTAGCAGTCCACTGTGTAAGTGTAAGATTTATTGTGTATCAATGCCACGGTGACGTTTTCCTCTTCTCTCTCTCTTTTTTTTTTGTTTGAGAAATTGGCAGTCCTCCAATTGTTTTCTTGTTGTGGGGATACGAGTATGAAGCTACTTATCAATTCTTGGTGCTTTTGGAGTAAATACCGAAGACGCTATTGCCGATGGTGCCAATTTATCCTCTCGATTCAATCATTTTGGTAAATGATATTGCATGGAGAACTTTGATGTTTACATGAAGGATCTGTTTAGACGATACACTTTTTTGGAACATCTCTTCATTTTTTCCCAAATCATGATGGTTGCATCACTAGGTTACTGTCACCGCCTTGGCCAAACATTCCTTTCTACCTTTTCATTTATCTACGCAATAGTACTTATAAAAAAGAAAAAATTTGAACAGTTTAAACTGCTTCCTTGAAGTGGCATTAATATATTTCTAATGAAGATTTGATGAGCATAAATGCTCAATATCCAGAGCTTGATTCCACCTTGAATTTTCTGATAAGGATGATTTTGACTTTGAAGTATTATGTTATCTCATGTTTTCAGATGTGCAACTCTAACAACGTTATGTTTCAATGTTTCGCTCTGGTTGTAACTTTTTATTATCTTCTTCCAGCTTAGCTCTTTTTGCAGTGCTTACATATTTGTCTTCCTTTGGCAGTATGCTGATCTAATAGAGCCTATTGAGCTAAGAATGCAAAACGTTGAAGATTATATAAAGGTAATTAAAACTCAAAATTTTATGTTCATTTAATCTTCTATTAACTGGTTTTGCATGTTTTATTTGAGCTTGAAAGTCATGGAAAGAGCCTTCTGTGTCGGTTCTGCTGAGCTGGTGGGTTTGAGTGGAATGTGTCCAATCTTTTGTGTTTGATGTAAATCTTGCCTAGAGCAACCGATGCTTCTTCTTTCTAAAAGGCTTTGGCTTAGAAAAAACTAAAAAGTATGCTATAGTTGATTCTTGCACTGTCAGTAGCATACTAGAGTTTGATTTGAAAGCAAATTAGTGCACCATCAAATCCATATCACATCACCGATCGCGCAGAAGGCTTTTCCTACTTGTATTGTGATGGCAGTGACATGTTCCTTGGTGCAAACTGTGTATCCAGTCTATAAAACCAGAGCTGGTGGTGGAAGCAGAAGCAATTGTGGATCCCTATGGTCCGTCAATCATCGATAAGAATTTGGAGGCCATTGTTGTCAGGTGCGCAGAGAAATCTTTACTTTTGCTTCTATTTCTTTAGATTTCTTTTTTTTTTCTTGTTACGGATCCATCCTCTTAAAGCGGGAGGCTACTTTGGGGTATTGGCAGAAATGTTATCTAGGCATCTCATTACCAAGTTCGTCCTATATATTATATGCTTTTACGTATTGCTTTTGAGCTTCCTAGCAGCCAATCTTAAGAACATTGTTCTAGCAGTACTCATTTTTTTAAATACCAAATTTAGTACAGCATATTTGTCAGTGCCAGTAAGTTGTAAATTCTCAACAAAAAAAATATTACTTTAATGGTAGCTTAAGGTTGGCTAATTAAATTTCTTCTGTGATAGCAAGGAGACATTGCCTGGCGGACTGTCTGTGAATAGGAAGAGGGCTGAAAGAGGCCTCTCACAGCTAAAGGTCTGACTCGTGCCTCTTAAGAACAGATTCCTTTTGGGAAACTCTATTCGACTTTCTTATCATTTATTCTGTTTTGTCAACTATGAAATTGTATGTTGAAAATTTTCTGCAGATAGAAGTTGTAGATCTAGTCTCTGAAGAATCAAGTGGAGACAAACTGAGTTCTACTGCTTTGAGAAAGCTTGAAGCTGAGAAGCTCAGAGACCATCATCCAGAAAGCCAGAGCTAACTTTTTCTAGTCTATACACAATATCAAAGGAGTTTCTCTTTGTTTTATTTCAAGTTGTTCTTTTGGGGATGAAAATGTCTTGGAAAATAATAATCTCTTCAGAATCATACACTGGAGTTGTTCTCACAGTTACTTGTAAATCTATAAAATGTTCATTGATACATCTCTGTTTCTCCTTTTCCTTATTCCTCACTTTCTTTCCCCCTCTTTTTTCCTCCCTGCCCCTCTCAACCTCTTCATTTTTTGTTTCTCTGATTCCCCCTGTCCTTGATATTTATTCAGTTATTTGATTTTGGGAAGAGGAATGGGGATTGAACTACAGCAAATGGATCTTGGTGGGCTTAACAAGCCAGTTATATGAGCTTTTTTTAAAATTATCTAGTATCTTGTGGACGCAATTAATCCAGATTTACGCTGATAAGGGGGGAACTCGAGAGCTCTGATCAAGGATTAACAGATGACAGTCTTTCCGCCACACTCCTAAGTGGTTACCTGATATTTGATTATACCCCAACCTATGAAGTCTTTACTTATTTTAACGACATTAGAGCTAAGAAATGAATAGTTTATCACGTGCAAACGGGAACTGAGTTGTTAATTCACCTCACTTTATTTTGGTGGTAAACTGCAATAAATTGGAAGGGACAGTCCAATAGTTAAGAGATCATGATCCTAATCGTAGTGTCATTAGATTGAATCATAGTAATACTACTATTATGCAGTGCACATTATTTATTCTCTAATAACTCTGAAAACAGAAAAGGAAAAAGAATTTATGTACACAACAGTGGTAAGATTAATAAAAATACACCAATACACCTGCAATGTTTATAGGCATCAAACGTGTCATGTTAGAATGTTAACTTTTGGTCCTACGTTCGGTAAAATTCTTTGGTCATATTAAGATTTAAATGTGCGGTAAAACTGGTACAGAACTTCCAGTTTTACATAAATTAAACTTTTACAATACTAGATTGAAACAAGTTTGAAGGAAAGAAGACTGAGCATTCATATAGTTGATCTTCACTTGCTTGAGATTTAGACTTTTATTATTGTTGATTTGTTTTTATAAATTAGTTTCTGAACACGTGTATTGCACGTGTAACCCTTATCAATCATTAAAACTTTTTAAAATTGAAGATAACCAAAAATATCTAAACGATTTGTTAAAAGTTCTATAAAATGGATGTAGCTCTTGGAAGTCAGATGTATTCAAATACTTAATTTTTCTTTTTTTTCCCCTCTAATTTCGATATGTAAGAATTATACTGCCCTACATCCTACCAAATGACAGTTTGTTTATGAGGATTTGAGTTATGTTCTTCTATTTGTCTTATATTTTTCTACTTATATATCATTGAAACTTAGATTCAAATAAGGGTGTTAAACGGGCCGGGTCAGCCCGATTCCGGACCGGCCTAGACCGGTTAAAATCGGAACCGGCCCGGACCGGTAGAAGGGGGCTGGGTTAAGGGTGTAGGGCGGTTTGCACCGTTTACCTTCGAACTACCGGTTACCCGGACCGGTCAAACCCGGTCAATGAACAATGTTCTTCAACCGGTTAACCGGCCCAGCCCGGACCGGCCCAAACCTATTTAACGGTACCTTTTTTTTTTTAAAAAAAAACTGGGCCCAGATTTCTGACAGTTGGCAATGGTCCATTTCAGAATATGGCCGTTGCCCAATGGCCGAATGGCACAAATAGCCCAATTTTGTTTTTTTTTTTAAAATTAACCACTTCCTCATTTCTTCACTCATCTCTCAATTCTCAATCTCAATTCTCATATTCTCTCATTCTTCAATCCTCATTCTTCACCTATTAAAGTGCAATCAACCATTTGGCTATTTTTTTTTTGAAATTTAATTTATCGTAGTATTTATTATTTGCAGTTTGAACAATTGAACTTCAAAATTGGATCACTTGACGTTTCTTCGTGGTAACATTGGAGTTGCAAAATCATCAAGTGCTCAATTTATTGCCGAATTCGGTGCACTCCCTCCAACTCTTTCTCTTATTTGCTATTTTATTTGCATATTTATTTGTTGCTAGTAGTTAAATTTTTAAAATATGTTTAATGCTGCAAAAAGAGTTTGTAACAAGGTAACTAATCGGGGAAATAAAAAAAAGAGGTAGTACTTCAGCTTCAGCATCTGGTAGTAATTTAAATACCTCTCCAAATATTCCTGAAACATTACTTGATAATAATATAGATTATGAACAATTTCAGGAAGATTTTGGTATAGAAGATAATGAATTAGAAATGGAAGATGAGATACCACTTACACCTAGTAGTGTTGGAGCTGCTAGCAGGGGTAGTGGTCGTGGTGCTAGTAGTAGACCACATGTGGCCTCGACTAGTAATCGTAAAAAAAGAAGTAAGGTTTGCAAATTTTTTGAAGACATACCGAATAGTGATAGAGTTAAATGCAAACTTTGTAATGATACTTTTAAACATAAGACTGGAGGACAATTAGGGGGGATTGGGACACTTAGTAGACATATGAGAATTGAGCATCCTATAGAATGGGGCTCTGATGGAGATGGAAATCAAGCAACTCTAAACCCTACTACTGGAGGTGTTATGAAATATGATAAAGTGAAGGATCGTGAAGAGTTAGCAAAAATGATTGCTTTGCGTTGTCTACCTTTTTCTTTTGCCTCTTCATCATATCTTATTATGTATATTCAAAGGATTTACAATCCTTTATTTAAAGGTATCCCTAGAAGTACTTGTAGATCTGATATCTTTAGACTTCATGGACAATATCAAACATACATACGTTATTTGTTTAGCCACCTTCCTTGTAGAGTTTCTCTAACTTCTGATATTGTCCATGCTGTTAATGGAAATGATTATTTGACAATTACATGTCATTGGATTGATGATAATTATTGTATGCAAAAACGTATTATCGCTTTTAAATATGATGAAGATCAAAGTCATACTGCTGCGTTTATAAGTACTACTATTTGTGAAGTTATTGAATTTTATAATCTCAAGCAAAAAGTATTGTGTATGTCTTTTGATAATGCTTCTAACAATAATGCTGCAATTTCAATATTAAAACTGCATTTGCAACCAGCACTTGATGAAATTTTTCATGTTAGGTGTACATGTCATGTTTATAATTTAATTGTTAAAAGTGGCCTTGATTTATTTCAACTGAGATTACTCATGTTAGAAGAGCAGTTGGTGTTATTCAAGAAAATAATAGACAATCTAGAATAAAGGAATTTAAGAATAAGTGTATCCAGTATAACCTTAAACCCAAATTCATGCTAGACGAAATTGTTACTAGATGGAATTATACATATATATTTTTAAAATGTTGCTACAAATATAGATTCCCAATAACTGAAGTTGCTAATGCGCATTATACTGATCCAAACCGTATGTTAAAAACTACTACTTGGGAGGTCATTAATGATGTTGTTAAATTTTTACATAAATTTTATACAGCTACTGTTGAGTTTTCTGGAGCATATTACCCTACTATTGCTATGGCTTTAGTACATACAGCTGAAATTTCTTTTCTACTCTTTGAATTTAAGAAGAAAGAAAGATATACGGATGTTGTTGAAAGAATGCAAGCAAAATTCAAAAAATATTTCTTTCCAATTCATCCGATTTACTTAATTGGTGCTGTATTAAATCCTTCTATTAAGATGTCTGACTATCACCAATTAATGAATGCTTTATACACTTATATGGAGATTGGACCAACTGAAACCCCAGATATATATGTTTCTATGAACAAGCTAAATGATTATTTACAACAATTATATAATTATTATGCAATTATAATTGATAATGCTGCGCTTAATGTAGCAATGTTAATCCCACTATGCAATGTACCACTTCTACTAATATGGATGATGAAGAAGGCCTTGATAGTTATAATATTTTTTCTACATTTTCTAACACTCAAACCAGTAGCAAGAACATTGATGAAATTCAATTTTACTTGCAGAAGCAAAAAGAGCCTCGCACAAAGGAATTTTCACCGTTGGGATGGTGGCATGAGAATGGAAAGCAATTTCCTATTCTTTCCTCTATGGCTCGAGACGTGCTGAATGTGCCAATTTCAACTGTTGCATCAGAGAGTGTATTTAGCCAAGCAAGACAACAACTTGGAGACACCCGTCACTCATTGGAAAGCAATGCTTTGGAAGTTTTAGTATGCTTCAGAGATTGGATTAGATCGGAACGAAGAAATCAAGGACGTGAAGATGTTGATAGCCCAGAAGACGAGGAACTTGGAGATATATTAACACATGGTAACCCATCCGAACTTAACACTCCAGAAGAAGGCCACTTAGTTCATATTGATTATGACGAACTTACTAAGGCAATGCAAAACCTTTGAAAGTTTGAATTTACTCTTTTTTGGTTAATTTACTTGTTGTTAAATGTAAACCTTTCAATTTGTAAGTTTGAATTTTGAAATAAATGTAGCACTTGCAATTTATAAGTGCAATTTTTTCCCATCTTCATTGTATACTTTATATTTTTACTTTATATTAATATAACTTACAATAGTTATACAAAATACAAAAAAAAAAATTTAAAAATAACTGGCCCGACCCGACCCATTCAACCCGTAACCCTTACGGTTCAATTTTTACCCGGATGAACCCGAACCCGTTAAACCCGATAAGCCCAACCCGTAACCGGACCGGACCATAACCCGTACGGGTACTAAAATTCCCTACCCAGCCCGGCCCGGCCCACCCGTTAGACACCCATAGATTCAAATGATAACGATTGACTTATGAAATAATTTAGCAGTTAACCGTGCATTGTAGGAACTATTCCTCTTTGATTTAAGTAGTAGGCTTCCACGTAACCCATGACTTCTTACCGGTAAAAGTAAATAGAAGAGGAAGTAAAGAAGTGAAGTCTACTAATGGGCGTGATAATTAGCCTAACACTTTGAATCCAAAATTACAACAAAAGGAAAATAACAAAGTTACTGATATTTCTTACTCAAAATCAATAAGGATAATGTAGTAGCCAAACTTTTCATAACACAAGATATTCATTTTCATGATAAAAACTATCGAACTATTATCTAAAAACAGGAAATAATTGTGAAATTTGCGCGAGACTCATAAAATTAACAGGAAAAGAGTCTTTTTTACCTCATTTGACACTTATAGATTGGTGCTATGTGCTATAGACAG